TGCGCACATTTGTAATACATACCTATACACGTAAATTTGTTACTAATGATGTAAAATTTAACTGAGAGCAGTGTTAGCCTAGTGGCATCAGCGTGCGACTCTGAGGTCGTAGGTTCGATCCCCGGCTGTGTGCCAATGGACTTTCTTTTTATGTGCGCATTTAACATTTGCGCGAATGTTGAAGGTAAACATCGTGAGGAAACCGACTTGTCTTAGACCCAAAAAGTCGACGGCGTGTGTCAGGCACTGAAGGCTGATGACCTACTATTAGATTTAAAAATGATCATGAAACAGATTCAGAAATCTGAGGCCAAGACCTAAAGAGGCTGTAGCGCCACTGATTAACTTTTTTAAAACTTAGGAGCTAAGTGTGTTTGTATATATTAAATATTTGAATTAATTAAATTTTTCCACCTTTTAGATAAACAAGCTACTATTAGCTAAAATTCACGAAATCGCCATTCATCGTGTACTCTAATTTATTGCCTATGATCAAATTGTTTTTATCATACTAAAAAGCAATCTCCTAGATTATGTTACTCGTAGAACAAAATTCATTCAAATGTTTGAGGAAATTACGAATGTCTCTTTAAGTCCGCTTTCCCGTCTTTAGATTACATATTCTATAAGATTACCGTCTAAAATAAAATACATATGTTTATTATGGAATATAATATATAGGTATCACTTATTCCACGTCATTAAATATGTATCGGTAGACTCATCGGCAATGAAGACAGAGAGAAAAATCCGGCGTAAAAAACTCTCGGTACGGTCTTTTAAAATATCAATTCATCATACAAAATTACTATGGAAAACATACATAGAAGAAACCAGAAAGGAGGAAGATACGGTCCGCTCTTATAACATTTTAACTGATCACATCTACCTACGATCCAATCAATATAATTTCGGTTAATTGACTTCGTAAATTGATAGATAAGTATTCGAAAATCACTGAAGCCCGTAGCTATAGCGGCCCTCGGTTAGCCACTCCAATCAACCACTACGACAAACCGCACTGCGTGATCTGACTCACCCTATGCGGGCGCAAATGAATACTGATTTCTGTTTAGTTTTACATTTTTACGAAATGCCCGTATTTGAGGTTGGCTTTGTGACCTCAATGAAAAACTATTTAGTTTATACCTACGCGCTATACCTTTAAAAAATCATTCCGTTAAACGGTTGATTTTCCCTATTTTTTTAGTAAAATGTACGTTTTGGTTTCAATTTTCTGGGGCCATTCACATATTTTCTTTTTCCTTCCTTGAGAAACGTGTGCGAATAATGGTTTTCGGCAAGTACGACGTGTACGGTTTATAACACAATAAAAGTATCAATAAAAAATTGAGATACTCTCCCGAGATAAAAGTTATAAATTTACCAACATCGTTTATTACTTGTGTTTGCTATATGTAGGGCAAACCAGTAACTGACTTTAATTATAATTATTATATAATAGGGTATAGGATGCCCTATCACAAGCTACAATGGCAATGGCCTGGTCATGTAACACGATACCTAGACAACAGATAGACATTAAAGACGAAGACGAAGAAGACCATCGGGAAAAGAAGAGTGGGCAGGCCAAAAAGAATGTGGGTTGTTGACTTGATTGAAATAGCAGGAAAAGACTCGCAGACTATTGGCAAAGATAAAGACAACTGGAAAGAGTTTTTACCCAAGAGGGGTCCATATCCACAGGCGACTAACATTTAGCTATAAGTAAATACTAACAACATTTGTAATGGAAATTAAGGATATGGAAATAAAAAAGGCTTTTTTATTACCTTATTATTCATATCTCATAAATAATTTAAATTATTATTATATCGTAAAAAGATTCTTACAATGAAGGTAAACAAACAATATTATATAATGATAGGCGACCTAATAAGCTTTGACGCTTATAACCAATATTAAATTTAGGCTCATCCCAATTAAAATTACTCATTAGTAAGCAGAAAACAAGGTTAATCTACGTACACAATATGATAACATCAGTAAGCTTTATAAATTTAGGAAGTAGCGATCCCTGACTGTGCACTGCTACTATGAAAGATATCCAAAGAAAAGCGGTGCATCTAACACGCAAAGACTTGCTCGTCTATAAGAAATAGGATAATCACAGAACGTGTGAAATAAATCCTAGGTCACAGTCTACACACATGCATATTAGCTACAGGTATCACGGTCAAAATCGATAAGAAGCCTACTGGCACACAAACAGACTACTGTTGATAGCGTACAAAAGACTACTGTGTCCAGGGACTTTCTTCCATCTCTTATATTTTACTAAAAATATTCATAAATTAAAATTATAATCATTCGTGTTACGCGTCTCGCGAGCTATGCCCCGGCTACATCGGTAATATTATTATTTACAATATTCATGGGCGAGCCGGGGCGCAATTGCTTGCGAGACCTGTTCTTTCATTTTTGTTTGCCTCCTTCAGATATTTAATAATTTTTTTCACAGAACTGTTCCAGGCACAGTCTATACTTTGTTAACATGTCCTATAGGCTGTTACGGTCTACTGTCATCAGTGTTTGTTGTTCCAGGTCGTGCCTGGACGGTGCGAATATAGGGCAATGTTCTATAGTTTGTTCGACATTATTGCAGGTAAATGTGGGGCTCGTCTTAATTTTAAACCTATGCAGGAGCCATATTTATCTTCTTGCTCTTTATTTCCGTTCCATATTTCCATTTCGTCCAAGTGGTGCCCACTCCTATACTTGTTTTGCTGCCGTCCGTATAGATTTGTGTGCCGCTGTGTCCTCCGATTTCTTCCGGATTGTCCCTCTTTCCTGTTTCTCGCAGAACTTCTTCCAACTCTCTGTTTGGGCTAGTTTGATCTACTACAGTTGATAGATTAAAGGAATGACGTTGTGAACAATTTCAATTCACCTAATATCATCCTTCACCGTCTGAGCTACATATTTATGTACGGAGAAAACTCCATCCATGTCACAGTCAGAGAAGGCTAGTTCTCAAGGTTGACAGTCACGCGCCTAACCACTAGGATAGTGCTCAAACATTATGTACACTATATATTAACTAAACAATATACTTAATATGTTATGAGCTACCTATTTTGACTAACAATATTACAGAAACGATTCTAGATAACGTAAGTTTAACTTGTCAATAGTTTGATAAGGTCAGCCGTAAATTTATTATGATTTATGATTGTTACAAAGCAAGCAAGCAATATATAATAACCATTTTGTATATGGCAAGATTTCAAAATATTTTATATTATTTAAACATTATTAAATCTACGTGAGACCACTGTAAAAGGTCAGAAAAGAGATATTCAGTTCATCATTTAAATGATATGAAAATATTTGAAAAAAATCAAAACTGATACAGGTACCGTTTCAATTTTAGATCGTTAAATCATAATATGAAAACAAAATCATTGTCATAGTTTGATTTTCAGACCACTGTAAAAAGTCAGAAAAAAAGATATTCTGTTCATCATTTAAAACAAAATGAATTTGAACAAAACTGATACAGGTGCCATTTCAATTGTAGGTCGTTAAAACACATGAAAACAAAAACATGGTTTTAAAAATGAAACCATGTCACCTCTAAAACCATTATAGATTATAACAGGTTTATTGTGTAACTTTTTTGTGGTTACAGCATTATAATTAAATAATTAATACCATTAATCTTACCTCAGTGGGTCGTTCAGTTACTTATTAGTAGGCCATAGTCCTACTGAATGCTTAGGTCTAGACCAGAGTTCCCCAAACTTTCTTGTGTTGTAGACCCCTTGCCATGTTTTTCCGTGTTAGGTAGACCCCCTACTTACCTGATATTGATTTCCTGTAAATTTCTAACTGTAGTGAAGTTAAGTGTTAAAAACTTAAAGTAAAAACACATGTTAATTTATACATTTTTTAATTGAATTTAAATTAAAACTACTCAAAATAAAATTTTGTATCTGTTATGTAAAATATACGTAGCATTAAATAAACATAAAATAAACTATAAATAAAATAACATAAGCAATAAGTCAATATAATGTATATGTTTTGATATTATAAGATAGTATGATGTAAGTAAATAGGTACTATCAGTGTATGTGTTGAGATCCACTATCGTGGACCCCCATTTTCATTTCATGGACCCCCAAATTTTTTTTACGCTGACGTAGACCCCTTGCAGGTTGTCATAGACCCCTAGGGGTCGATATAGACCACTTTGGGAATCACTGGTCTAGACTGAGGAGGCGACATAGAATAATGTTAATGAGCTCACTGTTTACATAGTAAACAACTTCAGTTGGGTCGTAGTTTGTATTTTAATATGCTTAATAGTATACAAAATTGTTCGTCCTGTAGTCATCAAAGGGACTTATAATCTATATATATAAAAGAAAAATGGTCTTCGTTTGAGGCTCCTTCACGCCTAAACCACCATTCGATTTTTCCTAGATGGTTTATGGCTATTTATTTATTAAATTCCAACGTTCCTTCATTTTTTTATTGCTGTTTTACTTTTATGAAAATTTATCCATACGGACTTCACCGCGGAAACATTCGGGGAGGCTTCCTAGAACCTCTAAACGTCAACATCTGTTAAAAACTCGATTTTCGAAATATTTCAATTTTCTTAGCGGGAAGTTAAAAAGAAGAATAATAAAAATATGAAAAAAAATAAAATAATGAAACATAAAATTTATTTTAATTCGTCCAGCAAAGCGGGCGCGAAACGGCTAGTGTAGGTATATAATTAAAACATTTATAATGCAAACATTTCTTTAACATTCAAGCCAAGTGCAGTGTGAAAAACTTAAATTAAAATAATATCGTGGAAAGAATTTATGTGAAAGAAATTTTTATAAAATTTCTTAACCGTATCGTTCTCTTTTGTTCCAGAATGTCCAAACCACGAAAATCAAGATAGCATCGAGAAAAATCATACATAATGACTATAAACTTGCGTGCGAAATGTGAAAAGCAAATGTGACATTCGTGCCAAAACAATGTATTGCTGTAAAGAACTAAAACTACTCTATGCCATTGTTGTTCTATTATTAGAAGCTGAATTGTTAGTGAACATAGGTGCTATGGAGTCGAAGAGGTCTTCCATACTCGTAACTCAAAATCCGGATGATTTGAAGGCGTTAGAACTTTGTACGACACGAAATCAACAGAGGCTTGGCAGTGTCTTTGGGAATTTTACAAGGCATCACAAAAAAGGTAAAGATAATTTTATAGGGCAAACCGTTACGCACATATTTGCACCGTCCGTTACATCATTTAGTTATACTTTACAGGCAAGTACTTTATTTAGGTCTAAGATATGTCTACAGTATACATTTTTAAAGATTGCTTACTAAAATATGATCCCTAAATTAAAGTTATTTTAATTACTAACTTTTTATAATGATGATGGAATATCCCGATGAAAATTAAATTTATTTGGAATTTAAATGTAGATGTTCCAAATAAATCCGAAAATTCCATCATCATTATAAAAAGTTTTTATTTCCAATGATAATGAAGCGGCGCTATAATAATTAATTAATGACTATCAATCGCGTCAAAGAATACTGAACCGTGTAATTAAACTACAAACTTATCATTAAAATGCGAACGTTTCATTAAAATACGAATTAATCATTAATTCAAATCACCGTATTTCAATGAAAAAATATAATTAGAGACTAATTTCTATGAACCTGACAATTGAACTGGAAACTTAATATATTACACTTTATTAAAAACTATCTCCATTTTAAAACTTACTTTATTAGTCGAAGGAATTTATTATTAAGTTATTTTTCTATACGAATCTTCTGCATTTTTTCTAACACCAAGTATTAAGTGTGTTTATTGTTTTATATATTTACAAAGATTTGTGACACCAAGCCAATGACGATTACATTTTACTGTTCATATATTTCAAAGGAAAACTTTTTGCAACTTTGTACCCGACATTCCAAAACACAAGCCTGACAAATTCAAGTTCTTGTTCATGATTCCTTTGATCCTTTGACCTTTTGCACTTGCCTTATTATATAGAACTACTTTCATTATCCCGTGACATGTTTGCATTTGGTTTTATTCAACTATGTGTCGAAGTCCAGCTGGTAAATAGATAGTATAAATTACATAAATATTTGGAAGCACCACAAAGGAATGCCAATAAAATTTCCACGATAAAAGAGTACTTTTTGACTGTACTTTAGTAAAGCCTTTGATTAACATTGGACTATTTTTCAATAATGATCCTAATTTTTTATGTTAACAGGTCATAGAAGAAGAACAACATCCACTAGCACAACAACAGAAACGACAATGCACTCGACAACAGATTTTGAAACAGAATTCACAAGTGAATATAGCACAGCATATCCAAAGTTACCTAAACCATTACGACTAAGTCTAGACATTGATTACGATGTACATAACATAAATATAGAAGAAGATCATCAAAGGCATAAACACGATAGTGTAGATAGAGAATTAGAATTAGAAATGGATGAAACAGTATTATCTAAATCTTTCAATAAGGCTAAGAAAATGTATAGAGACTCAGCCGCATCTGCTGTTAATAAGTTAAGTGCTAAAACTAGTAAGAATGGTATATTTTTGACTGACAACTGCACGACGGTTATAGCCCAAATCGGAACAACGGCTATATTACACTGTGAAGTTAGTGATATTACGGAAAATACGGTAAGTTCAAGCCACATTAATAGTCTTGGGGTATATAGAATCGAGACATACGCGAACAACACTCGTAGGTCAAAATCTAATACGTGTTTGTTTTACGCGAAGTAAATTACAAAACTGTTTTTATATAATCATAATTGCATAGAATCGGATAATCGTTACATACAATTAATAATTATATTGTACCTACTGCCTATACAATACCTAGCTACGGATAAAAGTTTTAAGAATAGTTAATAAGTATTACTGATCATTACCAAAAGACAACTTTAAATATTTGTTTTTAATTAAAGGAATAAAAAGGCAGGAAATAATCATTTAGAATACGGAAGTCGAAATTAGAAATTCGAACTTTAAAGGCGTAAATATTAGAATGGATCTATAGACTTATAAGGCTTACGAATTTCGCAAAACCAATTTGCTCAAAAGCTTTAGTAAATCGGGATTTTGGATTGTATTTTTCACCAATGGCTTATCTTTTGATGAGTGCGAAAAATCTCACAAATTGTAAAAAAGATATTTTTATATTAAATTTAGTACTTTGTTATCTTTTTATCGCATCGATATTCTAAATAGCTATAAAGGACCAGTTTTATTTAGTAACTCCTATATTTATTAGAGATAGTGTATTTAACATCAGTTTTATTTGATAGAAAAAATTAAGATGCGTTCTTCTAGTCATAAGTGGTTGTGCCATTTCTGTTTTCCAATTTCCAAAAACCAATTAAATTTAAGACAGCGTTATAGGTAGAAACAATTAGGAAAATAAACACTGCAGTGTTATTAAATGTTTATTAATTAAACTCAGCTATTCCGAGCAATAGCAATAACTGAATTATTTGCAGGTGACCTGGATTCGGCGGAAAGACTACTCACTGCTATCCGTCGGTCTAGTTACGTATAGCGCTGATAACAGGTTTTTCTCCGCTCATGGACGACATGTTAAGGTATAGTTAATATAAAATATACTTTAAAAGTTTATGGAGTAATACTTTAAAAAAATTTGCAAGAACAATTTTGAAGTTCTTGTCTCTTGCATTCTTTCGATAATTACGTTTTATTGAAATGTGTATTAATCGTGTAAATCAAAAATAATATTAATTATTGATACAACTCGTCAATGAGTTGACACACACACAATTATATAAAAACGAGTTTTCTATAACTGCAAACAGTAACACTAAATTAACACTAACTAGGTCATATAATCATTAAAGTACAAATTATAAATACCGATATTTTCATTAAACCAGGCTTAGTTATCTCAAGGGATGTTCAGTTTTAATACTGCAGTATTAATATTTCAAATTGCAATAACTATATTTATCTTTATGCTAATATATACTATATTTTATTTATAATGTACACATTATAGTCATTCACGTGTTTGATTTATATGGAAATCCCTATTAAAGATTTGCCATATGTAATCAAATTAATTTGTTTGAAGATAATGAATAATGAGATGGAAAGCCCATACTTGGTAGAAGAGATTATGAGACTGTTCGTTCCGGACAATTATAACCGCTGCCGAAAACATAACCTTTTTTCTATGTATTCTACTCGTACAGTCCAGCGTCAGCACGCTCTCAGTCCCCGTTTGCTCTCGCAGCTTAACAATTTTTCTCGACTCTTTGGCAGAGAGCGTAAAAATGATTAATGTATAGTAACACTATTTTTAATACTTTTTGCCTAAATTTTGGCTGTTATGCTGTCAATAAATAAATTTTACTATCTGTCTTATCTGTATCCTTAACATCCTCCTTAAATATATTCAATAGTTATTTTTTTAATTTTGTTAATTGTGAACTTGTTTAAATATTTTCAGCATTTCAGTCATATTTAGACGTTTGAATATATTGGGTGAGTGACTGTGGGAATTCTTTCCTAGAAGAGCTTTGTTATAAATTAAGGGTTCAAAGTAAAGAAGCTGTACTAGGGGGGTTTACATCAACCAATTGGTTCACATATATATATATTAGGCGTCGGGACGTGACGACCCCATCGCCCACTGGTGAAATAACCTGTGACAGAGGTTATTTCATCAGCGCAATCAGTCAACCCCTTCCTAGTGGGAGTGCCATGCTGTTGCCTTCGGGCTTCAGCCAAATGGGCAGGCACGACCGGGGCAGTACCACTGTCTCTCAGAAAACCGGCGTGAAGTGATGCAATAAGTTCACCTTATTGTACTCGCGTTTCGTGCGGTGAGAGAGACTCCCGGAGAACTCCCCATGAAATATGAAGGTGCAGAAAAAAGAGAATCTACCCCAGGGGGGTACCACACGCGCTCGCGGTGGAGAATCCCCCTCTGGGCGTCCAACACCGGGACATTCAGCACCCGGTGGTGGACGCACAGGCTGCCCTTCGTATTCTGGGGGGGGCAATTCTGCGCTCAACATCAAAAACAGTTATCGTTCTCGGGGCAAACGGAGCAACTCAACAAAGGCACCCCCGTCCACGCTCGCTGTGGACTTCACAAATGTTAGGGGGCTCAATTCTAATATCAACGCAGTCCACTACCATTTAGAGACTGCGAAGCCGGACTTGCTCTTTCTTACCGAGACTCAGATTTCCTCCCCGGCTGATACTTCCTACCTCTCCTACCCGGGGTACAAATTGGAACATTCATTTGTGCCGCGGGCGGGAGTTTGCGTGTACGTCAGAGAGGATATCTGTTCTCGTCGCCTCGGGGACGCTTGAAGGAAGGGACCTATCTAACCTCTGGCTGCGCGTAGACTGCGATGACCATCCGCGATTCTATGCATGCCTGTATAGGTCCCATAGCGGAAATACCGAAACTGACCGACTCATTGAGCACATCCAAATGGCTACAGATTCCCTGCTCGAAAGGGTTCCTACCGCTGAAATCGTGATACTTGGCGATTTTAACGCCCACCATGCCGATTGGCTCGGCTCAGAAACCACCGATCATGCGGGAAGATCCTTTCACGACTTTGCTTTGGCTTATGACTTGACGCAAATGGTCCCTGCGATTACGCGAATACCAGATGTGGATGGTCATAAACCCTCTTTGTTGGACCTTCTGCTGACTTCACATCCGGAGAACTACCAAGTCTCTGTTGAACCGCCATTGGGTTCATCAGATCATTGTGTGGTCCGGAGCATTGTGCCGTTCACGCGCCCTCTTCGGCCTATCTTCACGGGCTGTCGCCGCGTGTGGCACTATAAGTCAGCAGATTGGGATGGGATGCGGTCTTTTTTGCGTCCTACCTTTGGGGGCCCATTTGCTTTTCGTCGAGTACTCCAGATGCCGTCGCTGACTCTGTCGCCGAGGTGGTCCTGCAGGGTATGGAACTCTTTATTTCATTCTCTGCGGTGCCGGTCGGTGGCAAGTCCCAGCCTTGGTTTAGGCGTTCTTGCAAAGCGGCTTTGCGCCGTAAGCGTGAATGCTTTAAAGCCTGGGCAGAAGCGGTGACATCCTGTGATGTGACTATCGGCGAACGTAAAAAAGCATACAATTCAGCCTCCAGGTCCTTCAAGCGAGAAATCGCTAAAGCAAAGTCAGAGCACATTGCCAGATTTGGTGAGAAATTGGCCCACCTCCCTTCGGGAACTCGAGCCTTCTGGTCTCTTGCCAAAGCTGTCCAAGGGAATTTCTGTCAGCCCTCAATTCCACCACTGCATAGGGAGGATGACTCACTTGCCCATACCGCGAAAGAGAAGGCCGATCTTTTAGGCTGTCTCTTTGCGTCGAACTCCACTTTGGATGATCAAGGGAAGGAACCACCGACATTATTGCGGTGTGATACTACGATGCCCGAAGTTATATTCCGGCAACGTGCTATCCGTAAAGCTTTGTCTTCCTTGGACATCCATAAGTCGAGTGGGCCTGATGGCATCCCTCCAATCGTGCTGCGTACTTGTGCTCCTGAGTTGGCTCCGGTCCTAACGCGCCTTTTCCGGTACCTTTACACGCTCGGCACTGTTCCGAAGTGCTGGAAGATCGCTTCGATACATCCGATCCCTAAAAAAGGCGATCGCTCTGATCCGTCCAACTATCGCCCAATAGCTATAACCTCCTTGTTCTCCAAAATAATGGAAACCATTATTAACAGCCAGCTCTTGAGGTATCTAGAGGGCCACCAGCTGATTAGCGATTCTCAGTACGGCTTACGTCGTGGTCGCTCGGCTGGTGACCTCCTTGTATACCTTACACATAGGTGGGCAGAGGCAATTGAGTCCAAGGGGGAGGCGCTGGCGGTAAGTTTGGACATAGCGAAAGCCTTCGATCGGGTGTGGCACAGAGCACTGGTCTCGAAGCTTCCAGCCTATGGGCTCCCTGAGAAATTATGCAACTGGATTTCCAGCTTTCTCGCTGATCGGAGCATCAAAGTCGTCATCGACGGAGCATGCTCCGACCTGAAACCTGTGAATGCTGGTGTCCCACAAGGCTGTGTCCTATCCCCGACCCTGTTTATTCTGCATATCAATGATATGTTGCAGCTTAGCAACATTCATTGCTATGCGGACGACAGCACTGGGGATACTTTTTACACTGGCCGGGCAGGTATTTCTCGGGCTGTTGTCGATGAGTACCGGAACAAACTTGTGTCTGAAGTCGAAACTCTTCTACGTGGAGTCTCGGACTGGGGTAGACTAAATCTAGTCCAATTTAACCCCAAGAAGACACAAGTATGCGCGTTTTCCGCTAAAAAAACTCCCTTTGTCGCTACTCCCCTCTTTGAAGACACTCTCCTTAAAGCCTCAGCTAGCATCGGAATACTGGGCGTTGACATATCGAATAACGTTCAGTTTCGCGGTCATCTGGAAGGAAAGGCTAAATTAGCCTCCAAAAAGCTTGGTGTGCTCAGCAAGGCGAGACGGTACTTCACTCCGGGCCACCGCTTGCAACTATATAAAGCGCAAATTCGGCCCCATATGGAGTACTGCTCTCACCTCTGGGCGGGAGCTCCCCAGTACCAGCTCCTTCCACTTGACCGTATTCAACGAAGAGCGGTTCGAATCGTCGACGACCAGTCACTTTCCGTGCGGCTTGATCCCTTGGCGTTGCGTAGAGATGTGGGATCTCTCTGCATCTTCTACCGCATTTACCATGGAGAGTGTTCAGAGGAGTTGTTCGGTCTAATACCTGCAGCTGAGTTTCATCATCGGACGTCAAGGCAAAATACAAAATACCATCCGTATCACCTCGACGTCCGTCGTTCCACAACAGAGCGTTTTCTAAGGCAGTTTTTGCCGCGCACCACCACTATGTGGAACCAGCTGCCCACAGAAGTATTGCCAGCTGTCCATGGGCGGCGGTATTACTTAACATCAGGTGAGCCTCCTGCCCGTTTGCCTCCTATTACATAAAAAAAAAAAAAAAAAAAACATATACCGGCCATTACTTTTGATATATTGGACTACGTAACATAGCCAATAAAGATTCTAAGTTATAAAGTTCCAAGCAAATATGCAAAAATCTTTAAATGACAACTTTTTGCTCCTACCACGTCTCATTATACATCCTCTCTTGTTTATAAGCGTCTACCATTTAAAGTACGCTACATCTACCTAACTTTTAATTTCCCATACGTAACATATCTGAAATATATGTCTTGAGGAGTATCAATTAATCTTCAAATGATCGAAATATGGCACGAGTAAATGTTTTCAAATTCCTCAGCCTCCGTAATTGTTTTGCAAAGTTCAATAGAATTTCAGTTTTGTTTAACTTACGAATCCATCTTGTAGATTGAATTCGTTGAGCTCAAATTAAATTGCCTTTGAGTTGTGCTGATGGACAGAGTTGTAATATACGCATTGTCAGGTTCGTGCAGGGATTAGGTTCGCATGTTGAGCAATATCGATCTACTGGTACTCAGTTCTTCGTTTTTATCTATAAACAAGTCGTAAATCGTGATGGACATAGATTTCTTATCATCTACTTTCCTACAAAAAAGAATGATCGAAGAAACATGCAATAAAAATAAAAATAAAAATAAAATATGTTTATTAAGGAACATAAGATACATACTTATTCCACGTCATTAAATTTGAATTTGTAGGCATCCCTACTCATCGGCAAAGAAGACAGAGAGTGTAGGCCGAGAGAAAAAGCCGGCGTAAAAAACTCTCGGTACTCTTTTAAAATATCAAATCATTAAACAACACTTATTTTAAAACAAATATCGCAAAGTAATTAGAAGTAGCCTGTCTAGCACTAGTCCCAGGCCCTTTTATCAACTAGATAATCGTTGACTTTATAGTAAGTCTTTTTACACAGCTTTTCTTTAATACATTTCTTAAATTTATTGAAAGGCAGAGATAGAAGAGCCTCTGGGATTTTATTAAAGAAGAGTATCCCTTTTCCCAAAAAAGAATTACTAACTTTAGATAGTCTAGTACGGGGAAATTGCAGCCTGCGTTTTTTCCGTGTATTAACATTGTGCGTATGTTCGATTCTAGTAAACTTATCACTATTTTTGTATACATACATAATATTTTCATAAATATATTGCGAGGGAAAGGTAAGTATATTAATTTCCTTAAATTTATCTCTAAGAGATTCCCTACATTTTAAATTATAGATTGCACGAATAGCGCTCTTCTGCAGGATGAAAATAGTTTCGACATCAGCAGCATGACCCCATAATAATAAGCCGTAAGTCATTAAGCTATGAAAGTAACTAAAATAAACAAGTCTAGCTGTATCGACATCAGTTAGTGAGCGAATTTTTTTAACCGCGTAGGCTGCAGAACTAAGTCTCTTCGCCAATCCGTTAATATGAGGGGACCACTGGGCGTTTTGAATCCATGGTGATTCCGAGAAATACAGTTGTATCATCCAGATTCAATTCCTCACCGTTTATAATTGGTCTAGTATCCATAACCCTTGCATTTTTTGCACAAAATTTAATGTATTTTGTCTTTTTTGCATTAAGTAGAAGGTTATTCATACTAAACCAATGGACAATCGAAGATAGAGCATTGTTCACATCGTCAAAATTTGTTATTTGTCGTTTGATTTTAAAAATCAAGGACGTGTCATCAGCAAACAAAACTATCTGATGTTTTATCTCTACCATGAAAGGTAGATAATTTATATAAACAAGAAAGAGGAAAGGGCCAAGAATTGAGCCCTGTGGTACCCCCATATCTACTGCCGGCCCAGAGGACCTCTTACCATTCACTTCAACCTTCTGAGTTGACATTTTTTAATTTGATGACAACTACTATAATACATAATAGCGCTACTGATGTGATGACTTTTATTAATATGTAAGGCTAAGGAAAGGTAAGGTAGTATGCTAGGGCGGTCAGTCAATCAATCAATCAAAATAAGTTTATTCTTATGAATGTCAAAAGCGTATACAAAATTCGCGAAAGAGCAAGACTACGCCATTCGTTCGCAAAACTGCCAGGAGGCCTTGTTCTGAGAAGAACGGGCAAGAAACTCAGCAAGTTTTACCCTCCCTCTACATTACAATTATTCAATGGAAAATTTCACATCACAACGTCATTAAAGTTACATAAGTAAAAAAAATAAAAATCTGTTCTGTGATTTACCACAACGTAACATAGATATAAAAATGTGGTAATTATAAGAGTTAGAATGTTTATCGGTGCGCTTCAATTGCAAACCCTAGTCATTTAGAACTTTGCTACAATATAAAAATAAAAAATACATAGTTTCAGTACCTACCTTAATTATACAAAGAGAAATAAGACGAAATATTACAATTTTCGTTTTGGTTACCAGAGTACATCTACGAGTATATATATAAAAATGAAACCCGTTTTCCGTTGTCACGACATAACATGCAAACGGCTTGACCGATATGTCTGATTTTTTTTAATAATATTCCTTGAACTACGAGGATGGTTCTTACGGAGAGAAAAATTAACAAAAATGAGTGAAAAAGTCTAAAAACAACTTTCCTATATTCCCATACAAAAATATATTCGTAATAATACTTAAAAGTCAATTTGAACTTTAATACCATATCATAGAGTTCAAGTGTTAGTGGAGGGGTTCCGGGAAGGTAAATTTTTATTTTTGACATAATGTATTTGTTGTCTTATCAACTTACTTTTTTATCTTACTAGCTAGACCGGGGTCCCGAATAGCAGAATAAGTATTTAAAAAAAATAAAGAATAGACTGTTAGGTGGTACGATGTTCGCCTGGCCAGCTAGTTAACAATAAAAACAGTTTGTTCTCATTAAATATATTTCAAGTCATACTAAAGTAATTAAACAATTCAAACTGAAACAATTAATAATTCATTTATATTTCTTTTTTCATAAGGCTTCGTACTAATACTCAAACGATATGCAATAAAACCATTTCATTTCTTCAGAATTCCGACTTTACAGCGAAGTCATCCATATAAATTTGTTACCAGGATTGGGCGTTACATATCCGGTTTGCGACATCAGCGGATGGGGGCTACTACGAGTGCCAGGTCCCCACACATCCGCCAACGAGCATTTTCTTCAAACTTGTACTAGTGGGTGAGTCAGCATCGTCCAAATAACGTTTAACGGAAATAGTCAATTATACATCTTACATTTGTATTTAAGAGCCTGTGTTCGATTGTGATAAAAAATACTAATAATTCAAAAGTCCTTTAAAGATTTAGTTATTTTCATATTAAGACATTATTTTTATATTAAGACATTAAAATAATTCTAAAAATGTCTGAAAGTACTTAATCTTAAACTTATTTCATCATACATTACAGCTGCCTACGCAGAAATTGTGGGTGAATCAGAAAAGATAATTCATGAGGGTTCCATGCTAAAGCTTATCTGTGTCGTGAAAAGATCTACTGAACCACCTTCTTACGTCTTCTGGTACTTCGAGAACAGAATGATAAATTATGATTTAAGTGAGTATTGTACATGCCTTTTTTTAAGTATAGATTGCATAAGTCAGGAATATTTTAAAGCCAATATGATTGTGCTGCTGACTACGCGAGAAGCAGCAGTCGCGCCACTTACTCCAATATTATCCTGAAATATTTACAGGCAAAAGGCTCCCGCTTCATCTTCCTTCTTGTCAAATCTTAGTGTATTTCGTGTATTTCTCTAACTAAACATAAGTTTTGGAAATATTTTTTTAAATTTTTCATTATTATTTTTCTATAGTAAAAATAGTACGAAAACGCTTCTTTAGTACGAAAAAGCATAAATAACAATACAATATATACAAAATCGATTATCATTGTAACTAGTCTGGCCATAAATACCTACATAGGCATGTTACATAAAAACTTTTCTTTTTTTCAAAATTTTTAATTATTTTGAATTTGGAACACGTATATTATTTTAAAACTTCTTTCAATTTTGCGCCATTTCGCATATTTTTTCGTGTTCATTATCAAATTACAATATGGAATGGGATGTTAAAGAAAATAGGATTGCAGTGATCGCCTTGCACAAAGTGGGTATGGATCCGTCGGTTATTTTCCAGACACTTCTAAAGCGACGAAGCGAGAAGACGAAACTTTGCATTTGTTTCTGATTAGACAAACGGAAAAAATATCACGACGCAACATGGGACCTATACGCTCCGTTGTTTTGTTTTAAACTTTCAAGCCTCACAAGATTGACTGTTTTTTATTAAATGTTAATCAAAAGTGTTTATTCGAGTTTAATAATAATTATAAATACAACTAAAAACTGATCATGAACGCTTTATGACGCTAAGTCTAAGGAAAATGCAATACGACTTGACGAAACTAAACTGTGCTGAAACACTGATCTTATTTTAAAATAGTTAACAGTCTAATATATAAATATTATAATATAAATAAACGTAGATATGTATATCAAATAGTTAAGGAATGTTTTGTCCCGTTTATTTATTAGTAACACGGCACGAGAGTGACAAAGAATATTTAATTTGAAAAATATTGAGTTACGCAAAAATTTTAAATAATTATTTAGATAAAGTATTTTCGTATACACGTATTCTCCATACATAATAAAAATCATATATAATAGATTCTCATTGTTTAGTACACCCTCTATACCTCACAAGTCAAACACAATATTGTTTCTGAGAAAAGCGGTGTTTGTGTTCTTTGGTTCATGTATTGTTGTTATGTGCTTAGGAAATTGAACAGAAATATAATAGCAGGAACAACTTAGATTGTATTAATTACCCGTGTTATGTTGCAGTAATTGTTTGGCTAAAATAGCTAGAGAAGTTTCTAGTTACAACTTTAGAACTCAACCGTAATTACCCTTATATTTCATATTACATCAGTTTTAGTAATTTTCGTTTATTAACAATAAGTGAACCTGATGTGCTAAAAGAACAGGTGAGGATACAAAAATCCATGTCGCACAACCGGGATTCAAACTGTTCCACTATGTACTGCACTAAAATCGTTAATCACATTGGATTTTCAGGAGATTTATTGGATACTTAATGTCAATTCGGTCTTGTCGGTTGATCGTCAGTAACAAAACCCTCAAATAGATATTCACTGATTTGCTTTTCTCACTCTTGTATTACTTTCCAACTTAAACATAACAAAATATTGATGTAAGTCTCCTAGTTTAAGATCGTGTACAATCTCAAATCCAAAAGCTCTTGTCCAAATTCCAAATCATTCTTGTAAATACTCGAAGATTATTTTCAGATATATTTAGTAGCTCTTGTAAATATGAAGGCTCTAAAAGTAAGTTTTGAGACTATGTGCATATGTATGCATATGTATTTCTCCCGTATTAGTCCATTGAAATGTTACATTTGCTGAACATTTGTTAGAGGACGCAATTTTATTTATAGGTTTAAGCTTGTATTGACCCCCCCCTACATGTAAGGGTTGGCACCCTTGTCCCCCAGCCGCCATCTTGCTAAAAGGGGTGAAAACGCGTTTTTGGCTATATCTCCTAAACTATCCATCGAACAAAAAATTTGAAAAGACATATTTTGTAGCAAATCGCTTTGCCTACAATTGTATCTGTGTGATTTATTATCATAAATCCAAAATTCAAAAAGTTATAAGTTAAAAAAAACCTTTGCTTAATAACTTTTTCTTTTGATCCTGATCCACAGTCCATTTCACAAGGCACTTTCTTTTGCGAACTAGTGAACTGTGCAATCGACTATATATGACCTCCAATTCATCCTCCATCCAACGTTAGAGTGTACTCCTCCCTCAAGGGCCGGAAACGCACTCACTAAAAATGGGTGTCCATGGGCAGCGATGACTGCCCTTTATAGGCGTCCAGTAGCCTCGTTTGCCCCCTATTATATTTAAAAAAGTGCAATTAGAGCAATTCAAAGTTTGTAAATCCATACTACAATCTAATCATCAATAGAAATCAAAGTTTCATAGGAAATATCTATTATTAATTATTTATATTATAATTTTTTTATATTTATTATAAAAACCTACGACGGAACTCTGTATATTAATAAAATTTCAATTTTGTAATTTTTTAAATCGATCATTCGAAATTCAAACTTATCACCCAATTGAGGTCAGTTGCAATTTACTCCCTGACCAGGATTTACCTAATTTTGCGTCAATGATTTATATTACCTATACAAAGCTACAAATTTGTAACTACTTCAACGAGTAATTCAAATCAATCGGAAATGTTTGCACAGAACAATTAAGTGGCAATTTATAATACGGATTAGGTAATAGGTAATAATTGAGGGGTAATTTATCAAACTATTTTAGATAGACGATGGTTTCGTGGGGTTGTGAAGCAAATAGTAGTTTACTATAAATATTCTACGACTTAATGATGTATGACCCCCGTGTAATTCCACGAGGAAGTCCACGTGGTGGTTCGCTGGTGAATATTCTAGATTATTCTTGAAAAAGGTGAAGACTCGTTCCGACTCGACATTATTTCAAGAAATTTTTGTTTAGTGTACACTAAGTGTACTTGAAGTCTACGAAGCACCACTTAGCAACAAGAGGCTGATATATTTTAAGACGAAATATACAAATTTGATGTTTTTCTGAATTTGTCTGAGTTTTCGCAAGTGTTTGGGAAATATGTCTTCTACTAAGACTCCATTAATATATATATAAATAAAAATGAATCACAAATGTTGCTAAGCGTAAAAATAGTAATCATAAATAAACATTTAGTTTTATTTAGCACTTAGATTTTTATTCCGGAAACAGCGAACAGTATCTATGGGGTAGCATAGCAAAATGTTCCACATGATGGTATACAGTAGCTACTATAAAGGATGGCTAAATATAAAATTTTGCGGGGGCAGCTAGTTTAATAATTGATTTTGGATCACATTACCGAAAAAGTAATGGTTTTATCTAAGAATATAGTCATTCTGTAATAAATTCGCTTTTCCAGCTAATACACGAGTTAAACTTAAAAAGGTTCCCACCGACGTTTATATATTATAAGCATATATCGAATATTAATGATAAGCTAACATCATACATGAGCCTTATTGATTAAAGCCTTATTCAATAAACGTCTTTCCGCAAATAAATATAATATTATTTGTCTTTACTTTGCTCGCGGGCTATTTTTGCTTTGATGTATCCATCAGGCATTACGATTTTCTTTATAAATAAAACAGAAACTGTAGATATACTTGTTTTTATTTCCAGTAATCGTTAAAATAATTTAATCTAGGCACGTTAGATATAGAAATGAAACTCGTATAAAAAAAATTTACTGACATGCGACTAGGAAATTAAAAGTTTTAATTAAAATAACAATTGAAAACAATATTTTATTTTGATAAGAAACTAGTTTTGTAAATTAACTGTCAGAAATTTTATAAATCAGGAGTTTTATTCTGATTATTGAAGTTATACTTCTTTAGGCGCGTTATGAAAAATTTATGAGAGTGAAATTTTACGATGCGCGCGCACCGTGACACAAAATCAACAGAATGAAGTTGCCCACGGAAGATGCTACGGCATTGGACATAATTTAAAAACAACATTCGAATAATAGAATAGAATTTATGTTACACTTAATGTAAGAGAATAATAATAAATATTTATTTATTTAATTTTTCAAATGTAAACTGAACTTTATTGACTATAATGACTCCTTTTCCAGTCTTTTATTAGTTAATTGTAATTAATTATTTGCATGCAATCAAAAACTATTTTTAATAATGCCAAAGAAGTATAACTTCTTACGCCCGTACATAAGTACACGCACCCTTTTTTTATTTGCATCAACTATTACAATATGAACTATTTTGAACTAGATGGCGTGAGTGTCCACAATGGCAGGCACACCAGTGAGCTTGTGATTGGTAAAGCGGAACCTCGCCACGCCGGAAATTACACTTGCGTACCAGCCAACGCGCGCGCAGCATCTGTAACTGTACATGTAGTACAAAGTAAGTAATTTTTTTATGTATAATGTATATAAGATATATTATTAAGGATTTTCAAAATAAACCACAAATTGTTTCTCTGAAAATACAAAGAAACGACATTTAAAGTTCACTTATATCGCCTCCTCAATTATATCCTTTAAATATTTTTATAACAATACAATGCACTAAATAATCTGCACGTCATCCGACATTCCATCGCGCGTCACTCCGATGCGTCCCCTACCAACTTCCACAGACAACTTGTAAAAACGCGAAGCGCGCCATATTCAGATGAATGAAATATCATTTCATTACATGTAAATGACATATACATTATACATACAGGTTTTATGTAAATTACTGTGTCCTTATATATTTAAGACATTCGAAGGCCTAACAGGTATTGTCCACACACAAATCACACAACAGTTAATTTAAAAAAGGCATTTTCAACATTGGAATAGTTTTAATTTGACCCAATTTCATACAGACGTCAACTGTTATAGAAATCATAGAACAATAGATATGAATCGCCCCGAAAAAGAAATCGCTATTTGTAACGCTGGAAGCGTTGCAGTTTTCAGAAATAAACCAAACATAAATGGCTTTCAGTTTTGCTTTACCACAGCTGGAGCATGTCAAGCATTTATACGAAAGCGTCTCATTTTCATCAACATCCCCATTAACAAGTAGTTAAATAACTGCAAGTTTTAAGTATTCTGTTTATAAAGCGATCATTTTAGCGACTTTTATTTTAAATACTTTTGAAATAGTATAAACTTTATTAAGCATGAAATATACTGTTAACAATTAACTAGACTATGTAATAATCACATACATTCATCATACCTTTTTACATTAATTATAATTATGTTTTGTTAAGTTTATCGTGATTGGTCTTAGTGACATTAAAATCTGTTTGATTTTACGACTTAGAACTGTGTTCATAAAATTATAGTATGTATGACATGATACTACAAAAATATATTATTAAGGTCTATATATATTCAATAAAACTGTACATTCATAAGAATGCCTGGCATAATGTAATACGTCCAAAAAATAACTGTGTGCATTTTGTGCGGGATAAATGAGTTCGGTATCATTGATTGCGAAAAGTATATTTTAAATTTTTTCTAACAAACGTACGTGCACGATCTTAGTGAACGAGCCTAACGGTACGTAGTAATAAAAATAATTAAAAATTGAAACAGAAAATTAAAACAAATTTAAAAATTTTGGTCCCTGTGACAGTGTGTCTTTAGCGCTGACAGCATTTCCTCTCTGTATTGCGATACTTATTCGTTGAGCGAGGAAAACACCAGCTCTATCAGGGTTACCGGTACTATCACACTATCAACGGCACATTAATTACATAATTTTTGCCAAGCCTATTTGAAATTTGTATAATCTGAAAAAAATGGATAATCATAGGAACAATATACTCGCACAAACCACAATACCACAAACCAAGAGTCCATCAAAAAATGTAGATGGTTTCACAAGTGTTTAAACCTAATTTATATGTTGATTACAGGCGAAACACCAGCGGCGATGCAACACGGCAACAACTATGCAACAAAGAATATCCACTATTTAAAACTTTTACTTACGGTGTTATCACTGAGAATTATTATTCAGCAAATCTCCCACGAGTTTGGATAACGATTTTATATAGTTTAATTGCTATAATTTTCAAACAACTTCAGGTATATAATATATATGTATATTATTTTCCCCAACGTTCATTTCGGAACCGGAGCGATCTGAGGGAATATCTTATTTGGAGTGTATTGATTGTACAGTGTTTATTTATGTAATTTTCATTTATAGTTCATATATTTTTGTGTCTTTTGTTAAAGCTTGACGTCATCACGACAAAACATATTGGATTTGACATATAGCAGTCACGCTTAACGCTAAGTATCGACTGTGAGTCTTACCCTATAACTTATTGTCACTCTTTAATACGTGCTATGGACGGATGGAGTGTAGTTGTATCTTAATATTAATTTTGATGAAATTATTTTTCGTTGTTTTATTTAAACTAGGTGTTTTGAAGTTTTATAACTTTGATATTTTTAAATAAAATAAAATACTTCTTTGATAAAAGGCCATTTGTAGCACATTAGCAACTGTATATAATTATCGTTATATGGAAATATAAAATATAAGAATAATAATAGTTGTACATAAATACACACGTGACTTATATTGCTGAAGTATTTATTAAAGTTCAATGTTAGAAAAAATAATAATTCATATTAAGAATATATTTTAACATTGGTTAATGATTTTTTTATACTGTATTCATAATGAAGTCGTTTAATAATGAAACATATACTTCTGTCATTGGTCTGCTGTTAACACCTATTTTGTTTAAATGAATAGAATACCTGTTGTTCTTAATAATATATAAATTATATAATGTACAGTAAACATGTCACCTTGAATCATTTTGTACATAATACACGACAATAAAGTAATTTAGCTTTCAATATAATCTGGTTGAAAATATTAAGAATGAATAAGCGTGAAACCGAGAAATTGTGTTAATTTTCATCAAAATTTTATTATTTTAGCTAAGTAAAATTAATATCACCTAATGTCACCATACTTTTATATATAAGAAAGTATACCGAAAAAGTACAATAATGTTAAATTATGTATATACAATGATAACTATGTAAAGGTTATGTAAAATAATTGTCTGTCTTAAGATTTTAAAAATAAATAATTTTCAACTCAACGTGCCAATCTCTTTTTGTTTTATTTCCAAGCACTTTAGTTTAATGAACTAGTCCTTTGACTCTGAATGATAGGTACACTTACAAAATTACAGAAATCACAACCTGGTGGCAAAAAGAAACGCCGTAGGCCGAGGCTGCTTTGATGGGATGGACTTGTCAAGGACCTAGAAACAATAGCTAACAAAACCCCATATGAAACACCCATTGATGATGATGATAGTTCGCTTATGAACCATCAACATCCATAAATTTAGCTGCAATATTGCCCTTTTAAAATTACCTTAGTAGTAATAGACCAATTTCAATCTATTTCTGTATGATGTCTATGAAGCAAAACAAACGATTATAAAATTTCGTATAAAAATTTCCTTATCTTCGCGTCTTTGTTTATGAAGATCATTAAGAATGGTTTCAAGCCTTACCGAATCGATACAATGACCTTGACCCGTGAAGCCTCTATGTCAAGAAGTACAAAGTTCAATCACTATGATTGGTCGTTATACTAACGGAAACACTTAACGATTTCCATGAATTCATACTTGAAGGTGAGTTTTTTGCACATAAGAGAAAACTTCTATATTATACTTACTAAAACCTTATTAATAACACGTATGTTATATATATATGAAATTAGTACAATTTAATAGTTACAGTATATCAAATATAATTTTACAGTCACCAAACCTTATATATATTTTATATGAAATTACATATGACTTGAAATGTTTATAAGTATGCCATATGGCTTGGCTGTGCGCCTCTCAACCTTACGGTCGTTCGTTCGAATCATGGCTAGACAGGAGTGGATTTTTAATTCTTTAACACTGGCTCGTACGGGTAAATCTAGCGAGAAAACCGGCATATCTTAAACCAACAAATCAACGGCTTGTCACGCACAGAAGGCTAACTAACCTACTTGCTATAAGAAGAATAAATGATCACGAAACAGATACAGAAGTTTGATGCCCAAACCGAAATCTTTGTAGCGCGTCTGTGCTTCGTAAGTAATTCGTGATACTTATTATATGTTAATGTATTTATTTTAGAACAGTATTAGTCTAGTGACTTAAGAATGAGACTCTTTACCCTGAGGTATTGCGTTCGAATCATGGTTGTGCTGGAATGTATTTTCTTTCTGTAGTATGTACGCGAAAACCTTCTGCTTCTATGGTGAAGTCAAACATCGTAAGGAAACCAGCATTTTGTAAATCCAATCCAAGTTTTAGTATGTATATCTTGTACACATGTAGCTGTAAGAAAATAGGATTTAAAATGCCTTATAATATCTTAATGCTCCTCGCAGGACTTTAGATAAATTATTTTAAATGTCTTCAAATTTGAGTTGACGTAAGTCATGTGTTTAATATTACAATGGAAATTGGAAAACACTGGCGAACACTTAAAATTTTAGTGTATTAGGCAAAAAAGATTGATCACAACTTGTCTATAAAAACTAAAAATGATCAATGAACTGTATATTGGTTTGAAGCCAAACCAATGTAGAGTTGAAGCCACTGGATTATTAATGAAATAATCCTTAATTATTATTCAATAGCTGATAGCACGTAATTCGTTTTACATCTTATAAATTGCACTATTATAAATACACTTATAAAACATAGTTATCAAAAAAATCAGAGGCTCAGACTTCTGTGTTAGTTTCATGATCATTTATCAATCTAATAGGGAAGTAGGCGATCAGCCTCCTGTGCCTGACACACGTCGTCGACTTTTTGGGTCCAAAGCAAACCTTTTTGTTGTTAAGTTTGAGGAAACTCGTCACGATGTTTTCATTTACCGTTCGAGTGAATGCTAATGGCGCATATAGAAAGAAAGTCCATTGGTGCACAGCCTGGGATCGAACCTACGACTTCAGGGATGACATACGCACGCTGAAGCCACTTGGCCAACACGGCTCCTATAAATACACAAGTAGGTAGTTGAAAACGTAATAAATGTAACAAGAGGCCTTCTGTGGATGTCTCTAGGCCAATTTAAATTCAATTTCATTGTGGCAATTTAGAAAGAGTTGTTGACAATTGTACACTTAAAGAACATTGCTACGATATATTCGAGTTTTAATTAAGATAACGAATAGTAAGTGGTCATTAAAAATTTATTTAATAGACTCGTTTTTGTGCCTGACACACGCCATCTTATGTAAGGCATAATCACGATGTTTTCATTTACTACACGAGCGAGTGTTAGATGTGCACATAGACAGAAAGAAAGTACATTGATACACAGCCGGAAATCGAACCAACGACCTGCGTTGTAAGCCCAAAATTGCATCTACGGAAGTACTGTCCCGATTGATGACGACGAATAATATTATTTAAATTTATTATTTACAGATATTTTTGATGTGGAGGGAATGGATGAGATACATAATTTACTATAGTTTAGACTATTTAATAACACATAATGTGGGTTCTTGCAGGAATTAATAATTTCCAAATATAATTTGTCCATACATATAGGTTAGTAAAAGGCAGTTTTCAAATATATTAGTTAACTGGTTGTCGGTTTAGCTCAAAATTTATGATTGTGAGAAACTATTAAATATTAATATAACAAACATAGATCACCAAGCCATCACATATTCCATTACTGTGAAAATAACTGAACATTTTCCAATTCACTTTGATTACAGATGATAAACGATAATTAGCAATCTCGTTAACTCGTAACACAGAATAAAAATACTAGAATAACCCTAAATGTTTTGCTCTGTAAGTGGGAATATAAATAAATCAAATATGTAGTTTAGGTGTCATTAAATATTTACAATGATTTTATATTATTATATTTTATATAGGTACGTAACATTTATCTTGTGAACACTTTCCTCGCTTCTTTTATGTAAAAGCCCAGGAATATATCATAAATCAAAGAAAGAAATGACGCGGTTTTTTGACATCTGACGTGTTCGTGTATTTAAGTTTTGAAACTACTTTATTAACAACTTTTCTCGCCTAAAAATAATCTATTATGGACGACAAATTGACTAAGGGAGCGTTCAAGTATTACGTCACGCAATTTTTGGAGATTATTGACTCCCCCCCCCATGTAACGTTTTACAAAAGGACCCCCCCTCCAAATTCGTTACGTAATACTTGGACGCTCCCTAATTGGTAGTCAATAAACAATCTTAAGTGTTTAATTTACCAATTATTTGTATAATTTTTTCGATATTATTACACCGTCGTCGTGGTTAGCGTGAAATCTGAGTAATATGTGTAATTCAAATGTAACTCTTCTAGTTACATTTAAGTTTGGTATGTCCGATATGATATGTAATAATAGAGTGAGATCGACAAGGTAATGGACGGTTGAAAAACTCTTCATCAGTTGTCAAATTATATCCCTCCATACTTAGGTATGAGTTAAGTGTCGTCCGCCGAATAATTAATTTTTATCGGAAAAATATCGGGGCCTTAATGAAATTTAGGTAAAACATAAAAAGATGATGTTTACGTACCTCGTGTTTCATTTTATCCTGTCGAAGTCCAGTTCTGGACATAGGCCTCTCCCATAAACATACAGTACGACCGTGTCCAACGCCTTCCCTGAACCCTCACCAGGTCATCTGTTCACCTTCCAACACTCCACCAACTGGTCCTAAGTCTTCATTTCTTATTATATATTAACATCGAGCATAGCCCTCTCCAAGTCCAAAGACCAAAGATCTTAAAATATTTCATGAAATTAAATTATCGATCTTAATTCTAAAAGTAAGAAATAAGTGGAGACAATTAGAAAATGTGATTAGAATTTCATATATATAATATATATATATTAAATGAAGGATAAATAAGCTTGTGTTTACTACTAAATATCAATAAGAAAACTTGTATTGATAAAAATTAAATTCAAAACAACGGATTGTAACACAAATAACTTTACTACTAAATA